AAGAATGGCAGAGGATCCCCAAATCCAGGTGTGAAAAACTTGTTGCATCATTCCCAAGAAGACTCATGGCTGTACTAGCTCAAAAGGGTGCTTCTACTCAATACTGAGCAAAGGGTCTGAATACTTATGACCATGTGATATTTCAGTATTTCTTTTTTTATAAATTTGCAAAAATTTCTACATTTCTGTTTTTTTCTGTCAAGATGGGGTGCTGCATGTATGTATGTATGTATGTATGTATGTATGTGACACACACAGACTTTCTAAGACTGAACTCACCAGCTGCTCTTCCCCCGCTGTAGATCTCCTCTGCTGCTTGTGGTTACGGCTTCACTCTCATCGCTTCGCCGACCAAAGATGTGATCAAGCTGTGGGGCATGGGCCTGAACAAGGACTCTCAGCTGGGCTTCCAGCGCACACAGCACAGCCGCCGTAAGTAACACAACAACCAGAACTTAACTTAACTTCCACAGACAATTATCAGCAGTTCTGTAGAGCATTTGAGTGTCTTTCAGCATGTTATTTATTTTTTATTTTTTTTTATTCCCACTTTTTATGCCTTGAAAGCATAAATGGTGGAAATGATTTTCAACAAACGTTTACCGACAAACGAAGGCAATTGACAAAAGGATAAAGCACAGAAACGCAAACATCAGCAATTAAAACCAGAAGGAGATGTTACATTACACACTAAACTGTAAACACAACACAATAAGATAATCAAGATAAAATACATAATAAACGTTGAAACGTTACCTTTTTTCAGTCCATTATAGTTTTTGTGTGCAGACGCTCTTCTATTTCCCAGTACAAGTTTATTTTTGATAAATGCCACATGATTAGTATCAGTGAGGGCAGCATGTACTCGGCCTCACACCTCCACCTTTTTCTTCGCTCCTCGTCTCCTTAGATCAGAGCTACGACTACGTGTTGGAACCCTCCCCTGTGGCTCTGCCTCTTGTCGAGCGTCTGCAGACCAAAGTGGTTCAGGTTGCATGCGGCCGTGCTCACTCTCTCGTCCTCACCGACCAGGAGGGAGGTAAGAGACTCACTCCACACCTCCTGCAGCAGCCAGAAGCTGGAAACACACCGCTAGCATTGAACTTTGCTATCAGTCATTAAAGGCCTTTTAGAGCTCACTTTTCAGTTTGTCACAGCTTGGAGAAAGAAACGCCTGATAACAAACCGTGTGTCCTTAAACATCCTCCACTCACAGATCACTGAAAATGTTCATCAAGCATCTGTTAAGTGTCTTCTAAAAAGACCATTATTGTGTCCTTGGTAAATTCAGTTAATTAGCATGCAGATGTTCTAACGAGCTCCATTTCAAGTTAATGAAAACGCATTTTGTAGAATGGGTTCATGCCTAATTTGCTGTCCTCCACAATGTGGAAATGTTTTATTTTATGAATTCTGTTAAAGTGAGTATTTTTCATCATGTTTTGATATTTGCCAAATTAAAGAGAGTCATATTCCGGAGTGTTTGAGGACTTGTGTGTGAGGACTTGTGTGTGCTTTGTTGGCGAGAGAATGGCGTGCGGTGTCTCACCCACAGTGTGATCTAGAGTTAAATGATCCTTTTACATTCCACAGAACAGAAAGAGGTTATATTAGTATATTAAATTGATGCTCAGTTGCTATATTCCGGCTTTACAAACTGAGTGAAACTTAACTCGCCGTCTTCCTTTTTCTCTGTTTCTTTCTCTGCTAGTTTTCAGTATGGGCAACAATGCGTATGGCCAGTGTGGGAGGAGGATAGTTGAAGATGAAGTTTACAGGTTTGTCCTGAAGATGAACACATTAAGATCATTTTACTCTTATTTTTTAATACGAACATTTACCACATTTCCAGTTTTAATGATTAGAAATGATGACCAAACGCATGTAAATACGTCGGCGTACTCTACCTGTGAAAAAGAATAATTACAAGCAGGTTACAGGAAGTCTGAGAGAGAAGGATGATGTAACCTCGAGTGATGGATCGCTTATTTCTGTCTCGTGTACAAACAGCGGCAGTCACATCATTCACAAGATAGACGGCTTCGACAGCAGGGTCACCCAGGTAAGTGCAGCCTTTCCTTACCTCTCATCTCTCTCTATTCTGTGCTTCCTCGTCTCCTCCGTCCTCCTGCATGTGGCACGTAAATCAATCTCAGCGCGCCATCTTGAAGGATGCGTTGATTCCCTAAAATGCATCTCGAGGAGGCATAGGCAGAGCAGCTTTGCAGAAGTCCTTTCATGCCGCGTTTGGGAACTTAATTAAAAGTAAATATACAGGTTGTCATGACCACTGTTATGATCATCTAACCAGATCATTACATCAATTGACCTCTGATGCAGCTGTGACTCACGTCTCAGATCGCCATTAAATTTCGGATCAGATGTAACGATGCCTGTTGCCTTGACTTCTCTCTCCTCGCAATTCTTCCTTGCCTCCTCTCTACTTAATCCCGCCCACGGGAGATGCGAGTGGAATCGTGTGTGTTGTGTGCATTTGCATGTAGATTGAATGTCTTTTAACAGCGTCTGATCAGCGAGGGTTCTTTCTCTTGGTCTCCAGGTGGCATGTGGACAGGACCACAGCCTCTTCCTCACTGAGACGGGGAAGGTGTTTTCGTGTGGATGGGGAGCAGATGGACAGACGGGTCGGTGCTCTTCTCTGTCAGACCACTTAACCTGGAAAGATGAAAAATGTCTTCTCTCCTCCACAGTCGCCTTTTTTAGTTTTTTTGCTACAGTGACGTTGAACAGTTAAATAAATAGTGTATCTTTGTAAAACCACCTCAAATGTCTCGTGCAGCATAATCAGTGTTTTGGTTTATTGTAGCAGTTATTTAATTAACCACATTGTCCTCGTCCTGCAGGTCTGGGGCACCACAACGTCAGCCCCTGTCCGGTGGAGGTTGGGGGGGATCTGTCCGGGGTGGAGGTGCAGCAGATCATCACGTACGGAGACTGCAGCCTGGCCGTGTCCACGGACGGACGGCTGTACGGATGGGGCAACTCTGAATACCTGCAGCTGGCCTCGGTCACTGAGTCCACACAGGTGAGGAGGACTAACGCTGGAGAGTCAGCTGCACAAAGAACATTATGTTTTGCATGAATGTGTTTGTATGAGCAGGTCTTGCATTAGTCTGATTGACTGGATTAACACACAGAACAGAAGGTTGCCGCCTGGATGTAACAAGAGAAAGATCAAAGAAAAAGCAATTCACTAGATGAATTATGGTATTTGGAAATGCAGCAAAGTTATTCAGGTATTCACCGTCACTGAGCTCTTTTTTTATCCTGGCCTTTCAGATCAACTCTCCTCGTCTTCTTCCTCTGGTCGGCTGTGGAAAGGTGGTCCAGGCAGCATGTGGAGGCACGCAGGTGGTCGTTCTCAACGGTCAGTGTTCACACAAAATACCCTTTTTTTTTTTTTTTGGCTGCTAAAACTTTCCCAAATGGACTTGGAAACTTTTAAGGATCTAGTTGTGTTTCGATCGAAGTTCTGTGGGCGTTTTACCCCCAAAAGGCTCCTGTCGGCGGTAGTACTTTCTGAAAGTACAGAACCTTTAAGGGTGATGTTTTGTAGCGGCCCTCGTCAGACTCCACGTCTTTAGACCGCCATGAAAACGCAGACAAGGGGCTGAATGAAGCTTTTGGTTACCTTGAAAAGTAGTCCTGGGACTAAAATTATTAGGAAGTTCTTTTTGACCGGAGAACATGTCTGTGTTACAGAGCTGCGAATGAAAAGACGGACTGTTTTAGTTATCGTCTGCATAACCTTTCATTGTCAGAGGAGTGACTCCTCACTCGGCCTCTTGGTGGCCGAGTGAGGAGATCACAGTCACAGATCACAGTTTTAGTGATCCAGACTTGATGCTGAGTCAACCAGCAGGGTTATTTCCATCTCTGCAGTCTCGTATTGGACTATTTTAGATATTATTTATGTTCACACTTAAAAACCAGGGCTTTTCTATCTCAACAGCTAGAAATCCGTTCTAACTGGCCAAACATTCTGAGATTGACTAATTTTTGGACTCACTTTTAAGCTTGGCAGTAAAGACCTTTTTATTAACTTTATTAATCTTGGATATACACAATATATGCACCATGTGGCACAATTATAGCGTTTAAAATTGACAAAATAAACCGTACACAAAGCAGGCTCACACAGATGGACGCTATTCTCCCACAATGCAATGCACAAAGAAAAAGGAGGCGGTAAAAAATGGAATGAATTGTGGATGGAGGTAAAACAGTTTCTTAAATCACGGAAAACAAAACAAAGCGTATCACATCTGAGGAAAACCCTTTGATTAAGTTTGAAGTTTCAGTTTGATTGACATCGGTATTATTTCCTGTTGGTACAACATGGTGACGTGTGCGATGCTAGCAGCCTCTGCTCCCTTTGTTTCACCATGTCGGTGCATAAATATCCGTCTGTGTGTCTCTGGATCTTTTCAGAGAGAGGAGAGGTGTTCGTTTGGGGCTATGGCATTCTGGGAAAAGGCCCAAAACTCTCTGAATCCTCGACCCCGGAGATGATTCCCTCCGCTCTGTTTGGACGCTCAGAGTTTAACCCCTTGGTAGCCGTCACCAGCGTGCGGTGTGGCCTCAACCATTTCGCTGCAGTGACGGGTGAGTTTGTAACTTTGGTGGAGATATGTCACCACCAACAGCTAGGCTAGCTGTTTCCCTCTGTTTCCAGTATTTATGCTAAGCTAACCTGCTGCATGAAAGTGGTGTCAATCTTCTCGTCTAACTTTTACCCAGAAGGCGAATAAGTTTGTTCAAAGTTTGATTTGTAAAAGTTATTACTGCAGCTTTAAAAAGCAAGCCTTTTCCACCCACGGAAGTCTGTGTCGACTAAAGCTGTTGTTTCCAACCTTTTTTCCTTGAAGCCCTCATATCCTCTTTTAGAAATAATTCCACTGTTCTTTAAATTACTTACATTTTCTTGACTTGTTCCCAAACGGCTCACGTTTGATGGTTTGCGTTGCAGATCGAGGCGAGCTCTTCGTTTGGGGGAAGAATGTGAGAGGTTGTTTGGGCATCGGCAAGAGAGACGACCAGTACTTCCCGTGGAGGGTAAGACGACACCGATTCAATATTAGTCTTCAAACAAAAGAGGCCGTGCAGCTGAAAGGAGCACAGCTGATCTGTGGGCACGGAATACAACGGGTTTCACCGTTTCTTTATTCTTGTGTGTGGAGTTGTTCCCATAGATCGGGTATAGACGAGTCTATGCACCGATAACACGTAATCGTATCATTTATCAGCTCATTTATGTCACACAGGAAGAGGAACAACCGGATCGATACTGAGCACGTGCAACTCTAAGCTACTTCCATCATCAGTTATTTTAAAGTCACTGCTCATAACTCATTTTTACAGACGGGCTTTTATGTGATGTCTTCTTTTTACTGCTTTATTTTATTATTGTTATAATTTTTTTTATTTGTCTTATTTCTTAGTTCTTATAGTATCGATTGGTTTAACTCTTTCATGTGTTGCTCTGTTTTAACAGGGTTTAGCTTTTACCTTAGTTTGTCTTTATTGTGTTGGGCCTCACTGTTGTTTTGTTGCTTTTGCACTTTGTAAACTCTGTTTGAAAGGTGCGATATAAATAATATTATTATCAGCTCCAGAAAAAACGAGTGAACCGTCGCGCTTCTTTCTCATCTCTGGAGAGTTTGCACATGCTCAGTACCGATCTGGCAGGTGTTAGCAGAGAGTGTAACGTTAGCGTGAGCTAGCAACACAGAGGAAAATCCCACCAGTGAAACGGCGACGTTTACAGAATGCAAGGCTTAAGTTACGAGGGGTAGTTTATATTCCGTAAAAGGTAAATAGCATACAGCATATAACATATATTTACTGAATGAACATCATGCTGTATTGAAGAAGACTTTAAACTAGAGATTGAGACCATAAACTCATGTTTACAATATTTACTGAGGTAATAAATCAAGAGAGAAGTAGTCATTTTCTCATAGACTTCTATACAACCAGAGGAGTCGCCCCCTGGTGGTCACTAGAGAAAATGCAGGTTTTAAGACTCTTCTGCTTCGGCGTCGCTCTGCAGAACCGGAGGTTGCCTTTGGACTCTTGCTTATCAACGATCACACGGTCGCTTATAGACTTGACTTTCAGAGTTGGAAAGAAAATGCATGTTTTGCGTAACTTTTTTTCTCATATAAATTAACTTGAGATAAGAACAATCTGTGATGTTTCCATCAGGTGACTGTGCCTGGTCAGGTGGTGGACGTAGCGTGTGGTGTCGACCACATGGTGGCGCTGGTGAAGTCCCTCCTGTGAGCTCCTGTGTTCCTGCAGCAGTGGATGAGAGGTTTGGATGTTTTTGCTCCTCCCTCCCTCCTCCTCCTCTCTGTGGGAGCCGATCGGGGGCCACGTTGGAGTCTTGAAGCCAGCTGCTCTCCACAGGAGTCGTGGACCCCGATGTCCCTCCGCCCGGCGGTGACGTCAAGCCGAGTGCAGAGCGGTCGATTCTGCAGCAAACTGTCACCGACAGCTCACTTCACTTTGTGAAGGTCGACTAAGAAACACCTCAGAGGACGGTTTGGTTCATTACAACTAACGTCAAACGATTCATCAATTTAGACCAAGCAAAGCAGTGAATGATGCTCCATTGTGAGGACTTTCTGCTTTTCTCTCTTTTATATAATTTAACTTGAATGTGTCTCGGTTGGTTCGACAAAACAAGACATTTGAAGGAAGCTGAAATACATTTTTTCTGCTTTTTTCTTGCATTTTATCGATTTAAAACAACGAATTGAAAAGATAATAAAGGTTGAGAGAATGCGAGAATATATATAAATATTTGTTTGTATAGATGTAGTAGTCTTGATGTTTTAGAGGATTCACCCACTTTTCCCAGTGTTAGTTTAATGCCATTAAATACACAATATGTAAATGAGAAAATGACTTAATAAATATTTATATATATTGTTTTGTCAGTGTTTACAGAAATTGAGTGTAATGCAATTTACCACAAATTAAAGGTGAAATAGACTGATTGGTACACCTCCAATGACAGTATATATAATATACGTGTGTGTATATATATATGTGTATGTGTATATGTATGTGTGTGTATATGTATATATGTGTGTATGTATGTATATGTATGTGTCTTATAAAAAGATTGTTTGACAATGAGAACTATAACACACGGATTCTTGGAAGAAAAAAAATGTAAGTGAGCGACCTGCAGTTATGAAATGTTATGATGTTGACCTTATAATTCATTATAAAATGCTTTGTGTTAACGTTATTGTTATAAACATTATGGATATTTAGGAGTGTATAATTATAGTGTTCTAGGCAGAATATAATTATATATATTATTTTGGACGAGTTTACCTAAATTTATTTTCTATAGACGGACATTTGGAACTGATTACAATGGTGGAATGAAACAAAGCACATTTTACTTAAGTGCAACTTTTAGATACTTAAAACTAATAAACAGAAAGCTCAGTGAGACGGTCCATACGATAAAAATATACAAAGAAATAAATAAAACAATTTAGTAAAATCAACAAATAAAAATATAACAAAAAAGCGACATCACATGAAATGACTTGAGTTTTTCCTTTTTATGTTACTGAGGTCATTTTCAGTTTAAGATTTTACATACAGAAAAAACGGCTATTAAAAAAAATCTGCAGTATTTTTTATACAAGTACACAAAAAAACAACTTTGTTGCAGTAATGAGAGTAAATGTAATCAGGCTGAACTTTCGGGGGATTATGTAAGAAGAAAGATGATCCAGTGAAGTGAAACAATAACAGATCATGTCCTCTCCTTTAACCCTGCTCTGCAGAGAGGCTTTCTGCAGCTGGAGCCGCCCTCCTCCTCCTCCATCTCTGTTGTGCTGAAGTGAGCTCAAGCAGAGAGAAAGGTGGCGTGTGGAGGCTACAAGGACCTGGCTGTTCTCTGCTTTGTTTACTCAGCTCAAACAATAGAGACAGCTGATCTACCTGCTGTTGCCCGAGAGCTGCAGGCCGGAGTGGAGGAAGGGAGTCACAGTAGTGAAGACAGGTGTGTGTGTGTAGTGCGTGTGTATTAATATGGTAAAATGGTATTAATATTTAAATTAAATGTACTTGTATAGTCATGTTTTTGCATTCTGTTAACTCAAAGAGGACATCTATAGCGTAATAATTCCCATTTTGTACGTCAAAATACTCCAAAATCTGATTACCAGTGAATGTTGAGGCTCTGACGACCACGTTGGGTGGAGATGTCACCAGTTTATTGATTTAAAAGTACACATCGGGAGCAAATAACAGTGAGAGGACAATCCCTGTTCAGTAAAGCCGTAACAATGACACAATGGTGAAAACTGAACACGCAACAAGCTCCAAAAAAACAGAAAAAATGACAACCAAAAAAAATCTTTATTTATTTTTCCACACAAGAAGCCCTTCAACTTGTTTTTCTTTGATATGGAATCAGAAGAATAGTCGACTCCCTCCTGTTTTAACACTGAGAAATACAGAGTTTCTACTCATCATGTCTGACCAGAAGAAAGGTTGTTATTAGGGGTGAAATAAAAAGTCAAATAAAGAAAATCATCATCACCAAATGCTTAAGACCAACAGAAATGTCCCCGTGTGGACAGATCGTTCTACAGTAAATAGCCCTCTCCTGTTTTCACATCAGTACAGCAGGCCTATGGGGGGGGGGGGGCCTGCTTTAAAGTGCAGACTGTGGGGGGGCAGGAGAGGGGCAGCTTCAACACCAGGGCTCCTCCCTGTGTGAACCATAGCTTATGTTTGTGTCATTATTCTAGAAAACAAAGCGGCTCAGTAATTTATCACTACCGGAGACATTTTATTTTCATCATTGCACTTAATCGTCGGGTCTTATTGCGAGTTCACGATGTGAGCAACATGATCCATGAAGTGACCTGAAAACAACGGCTTTCTATCGGAAACACAGTAACGAATAGTCAGAGCAGAAACTCTCAGAACAGTAACGTTTATCTTTCTGTTATTTCAAGATGACGCAAATGTACGGAAGACTATTAGTGCCACGCCTAAAGGGCATAAAATGAGAGGAGGATTTTTATTTTTTTGCATTTTGCCTTTTGAAAATTAAGTCAAAATGTTGAGAATAAAGTCAAAATGTCAGCATATGTGTTAACACCAGAAGTTTAATTTATTCTCAATAGTTTATTGATAATTCTCAGAATGGTATTTTCAACTTTATTCTCAACGTTTTGACTATATTCTCAAAATAAGTTATATTCTTAAAATATATATTGTTAAGTTTTTCTTACGCTTGGCACGAATACTGAAAGTTTAACCTTATTCTCAACATAAATTGTTTTTTTTAATGTAAAATTAAACAAAATCGTCGAGTATTAATACTCTTCCGTACAAATGAGATAGAAAGTATTAATAAGTAAAGATTAGATGTCTTGGTAGGCTTTTTTCTTTTACGTACGCGAGGCTAGCTGTTTCCCCCCGTTTCCAGTCTTTACGCTAAGCTAAGCTAATTGGCTTCAGTGACATAAACCAATTGGATTTTATAGTATGATGTCAGCATCTGAATTAAGAAATAGATTATAGACCATAGAATATTTTGTATCGTACATATTGGCGGGACTGCATTATAATGATATGAATTGTCTGGTTATTATTTCACTTAATGTTTTAGATTGTATTTAAATAAATTTATATTCGGCGTCAGGTGTAATTTATCTGTTGAAAAATGTTGATATTTCCAACAGCTTCACCTTTTTTAAAAATTAATCAAATATCAAAATGGTCATTGATTAACTTTCTCTAAATCAAATAGTGAATCCAACTTTTAAGTCTTTGATTAACGCCGCATTAATTGAGCCTGTTAGCCAAATAATCTAAATCATTATATGTTTGTTTAAAAACTCACAAATGTAAATAAAAAATCTTTAAATTTTTGAGCGACCCATCGACCAGGTTGCTCACAGCGTGAATGCATATTACCTTTTCAAAACACTAAAAATGATAATTTCTTTGATTCACTTCATGTGCATCTGAATTTAAACGACGGACTCCAACAATCAGGCCGTAGCTGTAAATAAACGATGTTCAACTTCTAGCGACTAAAAGAGAGATTATTTCTCAACCAGGCGCCGCCGTGTCTTTAAGAATTGTCTCCTACAATTGCTTACGTACAGTATTTTGACAAAGGTTTAGGCATTCAAACATCTTGGCACTGACAAAGCAAAAAGTATGGAGAGCTTGATAATATATATATATATATATATATATATATATATATATCTTGTTTTTTGAGAGTACATTCGTCAGCCCTCCATGCGAGAAGTTATGTAAGTAATACACTATGGTGCTCATGGTGGGTTCAGGGAGTGGGAAGAAGCAGCTTCAGAGAGGAAAACAAACGTATATTCAGTCTGGTGAACTAAAGAAAACAACTACCAGAGCAGACAGTGGAGGGGGAGGGAAGGCAACAAAATGGCCGAGTAACAAAGGCAGCCCAAACACTCCATCACATTCCCCCCCTCTCCTCCGATGCCGCCTCGTACGCCTCGTGGTTCGATCCCTTCCTTTCAGAGCCGATCCACAGAAGTCCGCGAATGAGCTCTTGGCACTTTTTGGACACGATTAAAACGTTTGAACGAAACAACTTTTTATGAGTGCTCATCGTTCCTCTGCTTCCTCTCACTCTGCAGTGCTCTTGGTCCGCAGAGCTCCGATCACACTTTGGATGTTTTCTTCAGGAACCTGGAGAAGACACGGGGCTTTATAATCAACCAGACTCAAGTAGATCGATTAATCGTTTGGTCTGTAAAAACTTTAGAAAACAACTTTGTTAACGCGTCGTTAAAGCTCTTGTATTGCCCGACCAACAGTCCATTTACTCAAGTACTGTACTTAAGTACACATTTGAGGTACTTGCACTTTACTGGAGTATTTCCTTTTTCTGCAACTTACTGTACTTCTACTTCACTACATTTCAATAGGAAATGTACTTTTTTTACTCCACTACGTGTATTTGATCACTTTATTTACTTTGCAGATTCAGATTATTAAAACAAAATCAAGTAAACTAATAAAATATGACGTCTTACTATGTATTTGCTCCACCTTTTACCGACACATTAATGCATCTCTAATTATAATCCAGTGATTTGATATATTTGATTCTAAAAAGGGACAACCTGCATGATGAGTACTTTTACTTTGGGTACTTCAAGTATATTTTAAAACCAATACTTTTTCTCTTTTACTGTAAAAAAGCAGGAGCTTTACTTGAAACTGAGTATTTTTTTACAGTGTATTATTGCTACTGTTGCTATTGTATTACTGCTTCTTCCACCACTGCCAAAATCAAAAAATATGATATTTCTTATAAAGTAAGACAATAAAAAGCAGAAGATTCTCACATTTAAGAACCTGGAACCATCAGGTGTTGAAAGACAATCAGTTATCACACTGGTTATTGTTCTGTCACTGATCGTCTAATCGTTGCAGCTCTACGGCAGAAACACAGTACCGGGCGGTTCCCGTCTTACCAGAGCGTGGTCGAACTTGAAGGTACTAATGTAGTAAGCTGGAATGTCAGCCGTTGCCAGAGGTTCTGATATTTGAGCCACGATGCCGCACTCGTCTGCAAAGAAATAAGTAACAATATTACTGATTGATTTAGTTATTAGTTTGTACACTTGACTGTGTATTGAGACAGTACAGCAGGAGTTCCCAACCGAGGCATGTAATGCATATATATATATATATATATATATATATATGCATGTTCTTTGATACTTTATTTTGCATCGTTTTTATTTATAGATTTGTTTTAAGCCTGTGGTGGATTTCCACCTCCCGTGCACATGTATTTTACTGTTTATAAATATGTGCAAATAAAACATAAAAACTCACCGAACCCTAAAGGTTGTCCCCCGATCCGAACCATTTTCCAAAGCTCACCAGAAGCACTGGTGAAGAGGACGTTGTTGGGAAACCTTGAAGAGAACAAAATGCAAAGAAATGAACAGATTAGAGGTCAACATATAGTTTTACTTTAAATATTATAGTATGTAGAGTAAATAAAATACAGTGGAAAGCCCCGATAGTGATCAAGGTTACGGGATCAAACGCTTCTATGACTCAAAAGCAAAGCTGTGGACTCGAGTCACATGGTTTGATGACTTTAGATTTGACTTGATAACATAAAAAATAGACTTGGACACCAGTGACTCCTGACTTCACTTAGACTTTAAGCATTTTGACTTGAAACTACTTGATACCTCTCATTATGTTTGATCCCAAACATAAAAAGTATGTTGTTCAAAAAGTGCACTTTTCACCATAACCGTGGCATTCTAAAATACTCTCTTTTGTTTTTGGACTTTTTAAGAAAAAGGAGAAGAAGAGAAGTGAAATGTAGTTAAAAGTGACGATCTGCAGCAGAAAAAAGCTGCGATGTAATTTCACTTTCAAATGAACAAATCTGATGCTGTACGTGGATGTTTTGGGTGTTTTTTCACCTTCAAATGTTTGCCTCGCTCTATTCTACTGAAGCACTTCTTTGTTTTGCTCTGGTTAACAAATTGCCGACACCTGACAGTTAACAGAGACTGTGTGGAGCTGCAGAAGAAGAAGCTAACTATTAACCATTCAGGTGAATTATGTTACTGCTGAACAACCCGCCGCACTGAATAAGAGAGCCATTGTAAAGTTGAGTGAAATAGGTGACCTATTCCTTTAACGCAACGCATTAGGTCTTACATAAACGTGGGGACAAGGCTGACCTACATGCTGCAGTAGAACAATACGAACATGGTCATTTTGTGTCTCTTTGTAGATGTGTTATGTCTCTTTGTACTTGTTTTGTATCTTCTTGTGTTAATATGTTGTCTCTTTGTAGTTGTTTTGAGTCTTCCTGGTTGGTATGCGTCTCTTTGAGTGACATTTTGTAGGTGAAGGTCATGGGGGCCCCTGACACTTTGGGCCCCTGGGCCTTTGCCCGGTTGGCCCTATCAGTAATCAATCCATACCTCCACTTGGCTTTAAGACGTCACCGACTCATAAAAAGGGATACCTCTTCTCTGAATAGACAGTCAATGATTAGATGCTAATAGAGATCAGCGGGTTT